TAGACCGGACTGGAGGGTAGTCTGTTCTTACGGGTAAAGAGATTGCCTTGGACTCGCCGAGTCAGGGCGTAGACTCGCCGAGTCCCTCTACACTCAGATCCATGTCTTAACTCACTGAGTCTTTACTCCACTCACTAAACAGACTCGCTACTACTGAACAGGGAATCTAAGACTCGCGACCTGACTCGCCGAGTCAGAAGAATGACTCGCCGAGTCCTTTGCATGCAGTTTCTATTCAGTCGATTCTAATCAGTTTTAGTGCATCCAATTCATAGATCTGGGTTTCTGGGACAATCTGAACACGTAAAGTTGCTAACTTTACGTGTATCTATGACGCAATGAAGCAATAACACTCAAACTTGGCTATTATGGGGGTTACTTGTCTAGGACAAAGCCATGGCTGCCAAAAAGGTGGCCTTCTTGAGCTCCTGGAACTCAAGAGAGGCTAGATCCGAGATCTGGCTTGATTACAAAGCTTCATCACTAGGTATTTGGGGTTTTTGAGCTCAAAACCATCAATTTGGGGACAAACTAGATCTAGCAATACAATAACCAAGATGAAAGCTTTATTACCAGAAAGGATGGCTAAAGAGGAGTATAATTTGGATCTACTTCTTCTTCCTTGAGTTCTTCTACCTTCTCCTTCTTCTTCTTGCTCAACAATGCACCAAGATTCCCTCACAAGGGCAAAGATCACTCACACACACTTCAAGGAGGCTAGGGTTTCGGGAATAAGTCTCTGAGAGGTGAAGGAGGCTGGTTTGGGGCTATAATGGTGTTTAAATAGGGTACACTCCCTGAAAGTTAGGGCTTCATCCAGACTGGCAGACTCGATGAGTCCGGAATATGGACTCGTCGAGTCGCCACGCCAACTCCACGTGCTGACCCGCTGCTACTCGACGAGTTAGGGCCACTGACTCGTCGAGTAGCTTCTAAAATAAGAAGAAAAATAATGTTTTAAATGCATACCAGGAACGGGGCGTTATACACGCCTTCACCTTCCCGCGATTATCAGAAGTACCTGAAACAAAATCAACAACTGTAAGCCCAAAGCTTAGTGAGTTCCCCCAATATACCAACGCCATACAGATGTAACCATATCATATAAACAAACACAGCATGCATAATAAGCTATCAGTCTGACTGGACCGCCTCACGAGCCATCAGTCCATCTAGACCGCTCTCCGAGCCATCGACACGTCTGGACCGCCTCTTAGGGTCTTCAGCCTATCCGGACCGCTCGCCGGGTCTTCGGCCGTACTAGTATGCCCTAGTCGGTTCTGCAGTCTATCCGGTCTGCCCTGGGCATCTTGGCCTACAACACAAAGCAGGACCTGTCTCAACCCAATCCCCCAAACCAACAAACAGGTGTACATAAATATCATACGCTAGCTAGCAAGTATAGATAGTCATACAATATATAACAGATCCGATTACTAACATGGCAACCATCCTATAACCAAGATACCGATCTAACAGATCACTAACATGGCAACCATCCTATAACCAGGATACTGATCTAACAGATCACTAACATGGCAACCATCCTATAACCAGGATACCGATCTAACCGATCACTAACATAGCAACCATCCTATAACCAAGATACAAATCATAAAGGGCCAGCCTTGGTGCCGTAGACCCTGTTGATATAGTGAGAAGAACTCACTTCACGATGTCGAACTGTAGTGATAAGATCAAACTCCCGAATCGTAGCCACGAACTCAACCACCTATAACCACCATAGGACCAAGTCCATCAGAATCCCAAATTACCAAAATACCCTCAAAGTCCAACTGGTCAACCCTTGGTCAAAGTCAAAAGTCCATGTTGACCCAACTCGTCGAGTTCCTTAAGAATTCAGGAAATCATAAAAACCTACTTGACTCACCGAGTTTCCAGACAACTCGCCGAGTCCATGCGGGGTCCAAATGTTGGGAAAACCCTAACTAACTCGTCGAGTCCTCTTAATGACTCGCCGAGTTCATGCAGAACCAATACAGGAAATCTTCAACCGATTCGTCGAGTCGGCTATGCGACTCGTCGAGTCCCTTCAGTCCATTTCTCATCCAGACGTTTTTAAGCTACCCCAAAAGCTCCATATTGCAGATCTAACCTCCTAGGGCATGGTTTCCACGTAAAGTTGCAAACTTTACGTACATGCATGGTCCTAAATGCCAAAACCAAGCTAAGGGAAAGGTTTAACCCAAAGAGAAGGGCTAATGCTTGCTAAATCTGATAACTTTATGACTATAGGGACCAAGAGGAGTCCAGATCTGAAATTACAACTTCAGATCATGCCTAATACCCGAATTGACTCACAAATATGCTATAAATGGCCCTAAACCTTTGCATGAGGAGATCTAGCTAAAGATAAGTCAAGATAACAACTTGTTACCTTCAAAATGATGCCAATATGAAGTAGAGTCAGATCCACAAGCTTCTCTTTGCTCCAAGCTCCTTAGACTTCAAACCTTCTTCACAAAGTGCACCAAAATCACTCTTTAAGTTCCACAAACATTCAAGAACAAGGTCTAGACTGATTAGGGTTTCTTCTGGCCGTCAAGAGGTGGTAAGGGGCTGGAGGAAAGGACTTAAGGTCCTTTAAATAGGGTGCAAACCCTAAAAATTAGAGTTTCATTTTCCATCTCCTACTCGTCGAGTTGGGGTCCCCCGACTCGTCGAGTAGACCTCATAAAATACGCGGCCTGATCCACTTCTACACGACGAGTTGGGGGCAACCAACTCGTCGAGTAGGTCCAAGAATATGACTTTAAACTTTTAGATTTTATACCTGGGAGTCGGGGTGTTACAAAGAACCCAAACCAAAATCCCTCTTTTTGTTCACACTCAAGAACACCAAAGAGCAAAAGAAAAATAACTAGGAGAGATGATCGAATTCTAAAAACCCAAGAGAGAGTTAAGATTTTTGTCTAGTATGAGGAAGAAGAGAGAAAGCTGAGAATTCAAAGCCAAGGGGATGAGCAATAGGATGTGATCTCTAGCACCCTATTTATAGGCTACAAATGTTTAGCCCCAAAGCAACTCCAAACCCATATGAGATATATATACTAAAGCTCGTCCACCTCCATATCCTTTAGGGTTTCTGGAATATTCCAATTAATTAACTATTTAATTAGTTAATATTCAAACCCATTTGAATTAACTAATTACCAATTAATTCCAAAATAATTTCTATTTAATTTATCAAGCAATGACAAATTAATAAACTAATTTCACCAAAAATATTTATACTCAAATAGATCATGATGGCAACCTAAAAATACCCTGCTATTATTAAATATATTACCAATATTTAACGAACTTTGACACTCTTTCCAAAAAGCTCCCACTTGAACAACCACCAAAACTTGATGCCCAAAAAGCTCCTACTTGAACAACCACCAAAACTTGATGCTAGAAAGAGCACAATGGGACTCCAAACTCCTCGATCATTCTATTGGTCTTAAGTTTTCAATAAATTATAATTTTCTATTCTAATACAAATTTCTTAACTAAACAATTATAATTTAAAATAAAATTACATATTACAAAAGAAAATAAATTACATGAAGATCACAAAGATAAAAAACACAACTAAACAAATAACACATAGGTCAAGTCGAGACTTAGTGTATCGTTCCATACAATTCAAAACAAATAATTATTTTGAACTTAGATTGCAATTTTTATATTAAATTAATAATCATGAAGTTGAAAGCAAGCCGACATAGAATTGTGCCTATGATCTCAAATGTGAGGAATCATCCAAACAACAATGTCACAATTTTATGAATTAATTAATAATTAAAATTAAACAATTAAAACAACAAGCAAACAATATCCAAGCTTTGTAAAACCGACAAATTTGTATGAGATTCGAGTCAAATACATAAGAGTGACCAAAACATACTAGAAAAATGAAAACATACTTCTGTAAACAGTGACCAATGTAATGCGTAGGAGAGCCTATGAGTTGTGCCCCACTGGCACAATATCATCTCCAGAACTTACCAACCGCCTCACGATATGTGATTAAGGTTTTTGACATTACGTCGCTTACGCACCACGTAATCAAAAAAACAAAAACCTAATTCGTTTTTTCGTATAAATCTAAGCCATTAAAAACAGTTTAAACCCTTTTACAATTTGATCTACTCAAATTACTAACACGAAAATTCGTTAAAACAAACAAAATAAAAATCTAAGTGCAATATACGTGAACAAGTACCTTTGATACCCCTGTTGGGTTATGAAAGATCTAAATGCCATACAGGCACATATAAGAAGCAATACAAAATTAACCTCATAATAAAATAGTTGAAACCAAGTTCAACCAATTAATTGCAATAAAACAAACATGAAGGAATAACGAAACCATCCGCTTGTAGTTCTTTGAACATCCTTTAGATTTTGATGAGAAATGATTGTTAAAAGTCCAACGTAGAATTCTTCTTCCAGATCGCACCCAAGGACCAGATCAACAACATCTGATTTCACCCAAATAACAAACACCATGAATGCATAACATTGAATCTGAATTCACTGCGGACGCGCCGCGTAATTAAGATTTCTCTAGGGTTTCAGGAATGAGAACATGTTGAAGATTTTTTAAAGATTTTTCTAATGAAAAACTCATCATCGAATACAACCATAAACCTCTCTATTTATAGGGAATGATTTTCTGAACTCTTAGGGATAATTGTTTGGTCACTAATAATTATCCTAAAAGATTTGACTTTCAAATCTTTACACTTTAAAGTTTAAACCCTTAAGTCTACAACTTTGGAAAGGTCATAAATAATACTTTGGAATACCATATTCGGAAGAAATTAGCTGTTTTATAAAATTTAATTAAATATTATTATTTTTTTTCAAATACAAAAAGTTTTTATGGTTAGATTACTTAAAAAATCTATCGTAATATTAGAAAACTGATCGGTATGTTAAAAACTTAAAATCACATTTTTCAGGTTTCATACGACACGGTCTTGTATAAAGCCCGGTTTAGCTATGCGGTTAAAGCTCCGATTGAATAGTTTCGGATCTGAGAGAGAGGGGGAGAGAGACAGCAATGCATCACTGGGTTCGAGCTTCGCCCTCCGATTTTGGTGGACCTCTTCCTACTCCTCGGAGGTAAAACAGTCGCTCTCTTCTCCAATTTATTTGACTTAAAGCCGCCTGTTCTTTATCGGATGAAATTTTGGAAATGAATCGTGTAAATTGATCATTATTGCAGTGGCCACACCGCAGTCAATATTGGAAAGTCTAAGATCATAGTGTTTGGTGGTCTTGTCGATAAGAATTTCCTCGATGACATCTCTGTATACGACATCGGTATCTACTTCTTTGATTATGATTTTATCATCCAGTAATTAACGAAATTTCAGATATTTAGATTCTCGTGGCTATTATCATGCCTGATTCTAATTCTCATTTGCAAATCAGTTCTGCAAATTATGTAACTGCATGTGGCCAGTAGCGTGAATGTTTAATGGCATATTTACATCCATTTCATTCATGTAATCTTGCTATATACAAGGAAAAAAGTAAAAGGAGACAAAGATATACGAATGTGAAACGAATTTACTTGTGGATTTTAGTAAAATTCGTATACTCATTGTTAAACCCTACCAAAATCTAGTGATATTCGTATGCTTATTGTTTTATGAGCCTCAACAAATGAGGAATTAAGTTTTGGAAATAAGCTTATCTTTGACTATTAATGGATAGTGTCAGATTTGATCATCACATTACCAGGTTGAATGATTTTTAAGTTGATTCAGAAACCATCAATAGTTATGGACCTTTACTTCCCAAGCATATGCTGACTAGTCATTGAAAAGATTGAATCTTGTTCTTCTTTAGCAATCAATGGAACAGAAATCCTCTTGTATGGATGTGAATATAACTTTCTCATTTATGCAACCAACAAGTATTGCTGGTTTCTAAGCTGATAAACATTATTCAGAAATTCTTCATCAAGTAATAAATTTTTTCCTTTTTAATGTTTCAGAGAATAAGTTATGGTTTCAGCCTCAGTGCACAGGTAGTGGTTCAGATGGCCAAACGGGGCCCAGTCCTCGAGCATTTCATATTGCCATTGCAATCGACTGCCATATGTTTGTTTTTGGAGGGCGACTTGGTACCAAAAGGTTATAATTGTCTTTTTAGGCCATTACAAAAACTAAAAAAATAAAAAATCACCAGTGTTTTCTGCCAATTTATTTACTGTTACTCACAAATTACTGACAAAAATACTTGAACATGCAGATTGGGAGACTTTTGGGTCCTAGATACTGGTAATTTATTAACTATAAACTTATTTTAACTATTAATTCCAACTCACTTTTCACCAAAGATCAAGATGCATACTTCATTCACATTGAATTCCATGTCCAGATATATGGCAATGGTCTGAACTTACCAGCTTTGGTGATTTACCTTCACCAAGAGATTTTGCTGCTGCTTCAGCCATTGGGAACCATAAAATAGTAATGTCAGAATTGCTACACACCATTATTCCCTATTTGTTACCCCATATGTACATACATACCTTAATAATAATGGGACTTACATCAGTTACATACTTACATGCTTATTGTAGGTATGGTGGATGGGATGGTAAAAAGTGGTTATCTGATGTATTTGTCTTGGATACAAGTAATGTTTCTGTCTTAAACATCTTATCCTTTTACTTTTATTTATGTGTTTACTATTATGATGATGAATATTGTCTTTATGTTTTATGTTTCTTAAATAGTGTCATTGGAGTGGAGAGAGTTAGCAGTTACAGGAACATTGCCACCACCAAGGTGTGGTCATACAGCCACTATGGTTGAGAAACGGTTGCTTGTATATGGTGGCAGAGGTGACCTCAAATTCAATGCCTGTTTTTTTTGCTATTCTTTTTCATAATATTTATTTATTTAATGATGATTCTATTGATCTTTTGGCAGGAGGTGGAGGACCAATCATGGGTGATTTATGGGCTTTAAAGGGTCTCATTGAAGAAGGTATGGGTAATGATGTCTGGATAAAATGCTATATACATAAGGTCTGTTACTTTTCTAGACTGAATGAACCTTCTGAACGAGACTAAATGACGATTTTACCCTCACTTCCTGTAAAACAAAATTCATAATATTAGTCAATTATACCAATATTGTCTTAATACTAAAATAGTTTCTCTTTTAAATTGTTTGTGTAAGGAAGATAACGAAGCTCCTGGATGGACACAGTTAAAGCTGCCCGGGCAAGCTCCGGCTGCCCGATGCGGGCATACTGTCACCTCTGGAGGCCACTATGTTAGTCTCCTTTTCTTCAAATTTCAACTTTTATTAACATTATTATTAATATCATTATTTAAAAAAAAAATTATATCTTTTTCAGCTTCTCATGTTTGGAGGCCATGGAACCGGTGGTTGGTTGAGTCGCTATGATGTCTACTACAATGACTGTGTTGTTTTAGACAGGGGTGAGTCAGTGTCAGTCATTTTCACATAAGATTTAAAAATATATATATATATGCATTTATTTTTATAGATTTTTTTATGGTGTGTTGGGTTATTGTGTTTTATTATCAGTGTCTGTGCAGTGGAAACGCCTTGCAACTAATACTGAAGCTCCTGCTGCACGTGCTTACCACTCCATGACATGTATTGGCTCACGTTATCTCTTATTTGGTGGCTTTGATGGAAAACTCACATTTGGTGATCTATGGTGGTTAGTTCCTGAAGGTATTTAATATTTATTTATTACTTTTCATATTTTCAAATTATCCTATCCTTTTGTTTTACCTTATCTCTCACACGAATTTTATTTATTAAATCTTAGATGATCCTATTTCAAAGCGATCAGAAGTAATTCATGAGACCCGCAATGACTTCCAATCTGAAACAAAGGTATCAGTTTAGCAACAAACTTTCACTTTTTGACTCATTTAGTCCCTAATCGGTTTTTTGAATTCAATTAGAGTACACACTAAAACAAAGTTAGTGGTCTATTGAGTCCAAAAAACGATTAGGTACTTGTAAGGTAAAGTGGCTGAAATGAGTAATGATGTTTTTCTGTTTGTTTTTTAGAGTAAATAAGCCAAACTGTCTGTACGTGACAAAATGACCATTTTACCCTTTCGTTTATGAATAATACAAACACAAGTGTTGATATGTAAAACATGGTTTCAGGAAAATGACATGGAAGGGTCGGCTATCTCAGAGCTGCAAAAGAGACTGAATATTTCTGTTTCGTTTACTGGTCACAATCTTCAAATTGTTCATGAATCAGAAGATAAAGAATTTCTTGAACTAGCATCAAGGATAAATGGAAATAAATCATTTAATAATAAACAGGTCAGATATCCTTATTTAGATTTTTTATTTCTCTTTTTGTCATATGTGACTGAAATATATTATAATAATTACGACAGGCTGTTGATGCACTCCGTGAACATTGGCAAAATTCTTCCCCAAAATCAATACCTCTGAAGGAGCTTAACCCCTTATTGCGCGACTACAAACGTCTGATTACTCGCCATCACTTGTAAGATTTTACATCTTCATTGATTTGTTTATTATAAGTGAAACTTACTTCTTCAACTATGGCAGAGCAAAGGTTGGATCAAATTTACAGTCTGAGAATGAGAAAGATGCCTATCGCTTTTATCATATTACAAATGCTTCTCAGGTAATATTTTTATCATTTATTTTTTGTTAGTTTTTATTTTGTAAATAACATATGTCCTTTTAATATTCAGTTACGGATGAGCGATATACCGAATCTGTTGACAGAGTACAAACAGCTTCCATTGGATTAAAGAATGATGTTGAGGGATCGTCTGTATAGAAGAAGAATTATCCAAATTGTATTGTGAGTTTCCTTTTCTACCCTTGGTAGTTTTTGAACTGGAATTCTCATTTCTTCTCATATGAATGAATGCACATTATATGTTTGTCCAGTGAATTGGTTTCAATGCAGGAAATAGCAATGCACTTTCATTTATTTGTGTGTTATAATAGCATCATACTTTCTTTTCTTTGTATTACAACATTTTACTTTTCAACTTTTTTTTTTTTTCTAAAACAATATACTTTGAAATATACCCACTTATATTGTGAAAAGTATATCCAATTATAGTAGTGAAAATTAATATAATTGGGTAGATTTTTAAAGTAGAATGTTGTAATAGGAAGAAAGGAAAGTGGGATTTTATAATAAACGCTGTTTCTTGCATGTAACCCATTTGAATTCTAACTTGCTTATGTTTTCATGTTTGCACGATATGTGGATAAGTAATTATTTGAAGAAAAATTCTTTATTTGCAAATTACAAATGAATCATTTATGAGAAGCAAAGCATAATCAAACATACAACACATAAAACATTAACGTTGAAACAAAAAAAAAAAAAAATTTGTAAGTCGATCCATATAATAATATATAATCAGCATGAAGGATCAATGTTCTTGCTGAGCTCCTCAAGTTTCTTCATCCTCACATTCTCACTTTCTTTCACCAACTGAAATTGTCAATTCATGAATCATCAAATAAATTTAGAATATTAACAAATAAATCGCTTAAATAATTGAATTTACCTCGACTAATGTGGCAGTTAGTTGGTTTTTTTCGTTATTCTTTTGATGAAAAGTGTCCAATGCTTCTTTATACTCTTTCTCCTGTTTTCATGTCAAATTATAAATCAATATTAATAACTTTTTACCAGATATATCAAAGAAGGTGGGCGGGCGGGCGGGCAGTCAGTCGGGCAGCCATACCTTCTTCTGGCAGCTTTGCCCGAGCGATCTGACCTCACGGTTAGCCACATCTATCTTCTTTCGGACTGATGCCACTTCTTTCCTCATTGGATCTGTCAAAACTTCAAGCTCCTGATACATTTCATTTTACAAAAAAAATCTTTAATGTATAAATAATGCCAAAAAATAACATTAGAAGTTTATAAAAAAATGTCATGTTAAAAAGTTTTTGTGGGGCTTACTTCCCAAACTTGAGCTAAGCGTCTGGTTTGTTCTTCAGCTTGGCCTAATTTCATTTCAACTTTTTCCTTGACTTGCATTTTCATTTTCTCGATTTCTTCTTCTCTTGCTTGAAATGACGCAAAAGCTGATTTTGAAATATCTTCATCATCGTTCTCATCCCCTGAAGCTGATACACCACTCCCCATATTTGCTAAGTTTTTCATTTCGATTTTTTCTTTTTCTTTTTGCACTGATGTTACTTTGTGTGTGTGTGTGTGTGTGTGATATTTTTGGACTTTGATTTCCTTTGCTTTTGTAGCCTTTATTGCTTTTGCTTTAAAACTCTCTCTGGAGTGAGTCTATCTGGATCACAATTTTTGTATGCAATCACCAAACCAAACTAACATTTGCTTTAAGCATGAGCAAAGTTTGTTGAGTGTTGACCTCCTTCACTTTATTATTATATCCATTATGCTTTCTCACTTTATATATTTCATATAACATTTTATATGGCATATATATAATTTAACGGAAGTGTTGAGAAAAATAAAACAAAAGAAACTCGACCAAGATGACGTAATTCATATGATGGTTAGTAGCTTATGGGTGATTTTATTATCTCTGTTCTAGACTATGTAATTAGAAAATTAAATAATATTAAATTAAGAAATAAAGAAAAATGTTTTATTTATTTATTTATAAAAGAACAAGCTTCCCTTTAACACAAGACATACGTTTATCGTCAAGATTTGCAACCCAGAACAGAAGAAGCTGGCTCTAGCCGATTCTAAACACTTAGCTACTTTAAGTAACATGCATCTTAAATATAGAAAATAGTATATTTCCGTTTGTTAAAATGCCTCACTGAAAAAAAAATATAAAAACACTTTAAAACAACACGAGCCATGCCTTTCTTACTTCGCAAATGATCATTGTATTGTGAGCTTGTAAATTTATCAAATGTTTATAATTTTGTATATTTTCTATATAATCGGGTAGTGTAAACATGTATATTTAATATAATATATTTTTGTATCTAAGATTCGGATGAATTTTAGCTTATGACTTGTATAAAAGTTGAGTTTTCCTTTCTTCTAAATTAAAACAATTTTAGCAAAGAAAAGTTATAGTATGTTTTTTGGAATATTCTATCACGAGCATAGATCTATGTCATTTTATGAATATGTAAAATTTGATACATAAATATCTTATAGTGGCGTGGGTTTCTTCTCGATATCGTAACTCTTACATGATTGCATCTATTTCATGAATAGAGAACAACTCAATATCTAATAAATCTACGAATTTTACTTTACCATTATTATTATTATTATTATTATTATTATTATTTTGAACCGAAAAATATATTAAAAACCCCGCCCCCGCCCGCCTAGCAAGTCACTAGACGCACAGGAAACAGGAGAATAAGTACAAAAGTTTACATATAGATAAAAGGAGATATGGACCAATCAACCCATTTGTAATTACAATTCTTTCTCATATGTTTGATCAACACGAACACCTGAGACTTAATAGTATCTACCACCATTGTTGGGGACGAACGTATGTTTTTAAGTACCCTGTCACATCTCGCCTTCCAAATCCACCATAGCGTCCCGTAGCATATAGCGACTATGTTATTTTTTTGATCTTTATTCTTCCCAAAATCTGCCAAATACTCAACTAAATCTCCAATTGTTGGTACCTGTACTACTGGAATGCCACACCACTTCATTACCCAACCCCAGACTTCTCTCGCAAATGGGCAATGCAGCAGGATATGGTCAGAATCTTCCTCATCTGCTAGGCAGTAGCTGCACATCACCGAATCCACATCCACACCTCTATGCCTAAGCGCACATAACGATGGGATACGCTTTTGCTATGCTTTCCAGATAAAACATGTAACTTTGATAGGAACTTCACGAATCCATTTCACCCGGTTCATCATTACCTGGTTTTGAGGTTTGTCGATTATTTTTCTTAGAGCAGCCACCTGAAACTCGCCATCAACTGTGATACCACACTTCCATCCATCGTTTGAGGTTTGCAGCTGGAAGGACCCAATCATTGCCACAATACTATGTAATTCTTCTAAGTGGACATCGTTTTGTGGATGCGATATCCAATCCCACGAGGGACCACCATCTCGAATTCTATCTACAATCAAGCATCTCTTTTTCTTTTCCAGTTGATACAGCCCTGGGAAAGCAGATTTTAGAGGTTCGCCACCAATCCAATGCTCCAACCAGAACATAATATCATCTCCTCTCCCAATATTCTTTTTAATCACATGCTCCAAATTTATTCCTATATTTCTCAAGGCATGCCGAATACCGGCTATATTGTTCCATACTCCCGTAATGGTTTTATTAGATATAATATTGGAGGGCTTAGTGTTGAGGTTATGAATTCCTTTAATAACACGGGCCCAACTCGTCGTGGGGTTTGTTCTCAGACGCCACCACCATTTGGTTAATAGAGAGAGGTTCAAAGCCCTGATCGAGCCCACACCCAATCGTCCCATATCCTTTGAGGCTATTATTTTATCCCATGCAACCCAGTGTATTTTTTTTTCTATCCTCAGCACCTCCCGAAATGAATTTTTCCTGATGCCCTCCAGTGTATTTAGTACCCCGATGGGTGCAACAAACATTGATAGATAGAATGTTGGAAGGTTTCCCAGCATTGCTTTCACTAGGGTCAGCCTTCCACCGAAGGATAAAGTTTTTGCCTTCCATGTAGATAGCTTGGATGGAAACGTTCAATCACCGACGCCCAATGACGCTTAAGATTCATGTTCGCTCCCACTGGAACTCCTAGATAGATAAACGGAAGTGATGTCGGCTCGCACCCAAGTGGCACAACCCACCTTTGTACTTCATTGGGGCATGCTCCAATTCCAAGCACTCGGGACTTATGGAAATTAACTTTGAGTCAATTTGGAAACAACGCAGTATCCGGGCTAGATTGTGTATGTTTGATCTGCTCCATTCTCCAACAAACAAGGCGTCATCTGCATAAAAAAGATGTGAAATTGTCATATCTTCTCGTGGTATCCGGACCCCTTTAAAGATTCCTTTATCACACGCCGACTTCATAGCAACATTCAACCCTTCCATTACCATGATGAAGAGTAATGGAGAGAGTGGGTCGCCTTGTCGTAACCCCTTCCCGAGATCGAACTCAACTGTAGGAGAACCATTTACTAGGACCGATGCCCTAGCGGATTTGAGGCACCCCATGATCCACGTCCTCCATTTTGATCCATACCCCATTTGTTCCATTATAGAATCCAAAAACTCCCAATTAACCGAGTCAAAGGTTTTCTCGAAATCTACTTTAAAGAGAAGTATTTTCTTTTTTGTTTTTTTCACCCATGAACATAATTCGTTTACAATTATCGGCCCATCATGAATGTTTCTGCCTTCAACAAAGGCCGATTGGACCTCATCTATGTTATGGCCAATAGTCCTTTTGAGCCGGATGGCAAGAGCCTTTGCTATAACTTTATACATGCTCCCAGTTAGACTAATCGGCCGGAAATCACCAATAACTAATGGGTCCTTAACTTTTGGCACCAGAGTAATGAAGGAGGAATTACATCCTGGGCTAAGTTCCCCATGTTGTTCAAAATGTATAACAAATCTAAATATGTCCTCCTTCATTTAGTCCCAATATTTTTTTTATGAACTTGAAGCTAAATCCATCAGGCCCAGGAGCCTTGTCTCCGCCACATGCCCAAACAGCTATCCTGATCTCCTCCATAGAAAAAGGAGATTCAAGGTTATGACTTATATCCGAACCCAGAACATAAAACTTAGAATTAATCAGTTTTGGTCTAGTAGGCCAATTCTCCTGGAACTTCATTTTAAAAAATCTATGTACCTCCTGTTTTATTGTGGCTGCACTTGTGTTCCATTCACCGTTTATAACCAACCCGTGAATCTGATTTTTCTGTTGTTTGCATTTAACATAAGAGTGGAAGAAACTAGTGTTCTCATCTCCGTCAACTGCCCATCTTATCCTTGCCTTTTGTTTTGCATCAAGTGCATCGATCTTTTCATGCTCAACTATCTTTTGGAACACCACTCTCCTTTCCTCAATCTCCGATGCATATAATACACGGGATTCATATGCCACATCCAGCTCCTGTAACCTGAGTTTTAGTCTTTGCAATTCTTTTACCTCCTTTGGATAATCAACAGCCCTCCATTTTTTGATTTCATTTTTTAGAAATTTGAGTTTTGCAGCCAGGTATCTGTCGTGCGTCCCGTACCCAACGAAAGATTCCCAAGCTTTAGATACCACCTGATCGAACGGTTCATCCAGGAATTGAAGAATCTGAATGGGGTCTTGCCAAAATCGTCGCTCACCGATTGCAAAATAATTGGGCAGTGGTCAGACAGTTCACGTGAAACAGCCACCACACATATTTTGGGAAATGGTTGAGTAATCCTGGGGAGATCAGAAACCTGTCCAATTTACTCATTTCTGGCTCCGATTGACAGAAATAAGTGTAGCGGTGCCCCCATCCTTAAGTCTTTTACACCAGCTTCCCCAATGAATCGATTAAACCAGTATGCTGTTGAATGATTGAATTGTGAGTTGTATCTTTCATCCGGGCTTCTAACAGTATTAAAGTCCCCAAGTAATATCCAAAATCCCCCAATCTCTTGTTTGATTCCCAAAAACTCATCCCATAACTTTCTTTTCTCCATCGGGGCCTGGGGCCCGTAGACGTTACAGATAGTGACCTTCTCGTGGATACCCGACCAAGTACCGACTGTAATTAGGTAGTGACGAGATCTAATTACCTCCGTAACATCGAACATCCCAAATGCTTAAAATTCCCCCCGACCTACCTGATGCGTGTGTTGCAGCATAATCGAAATCTGTTGTACCCCAACACTCATCTACATCGATCTTTTCAGAATCCATCAGTTGGGTCTCTTGTATCCCGAAGAATGAAACCTTGTATTTGTTTTTGAGCCTTCTCACCCAGGTGACTTTTTGGGCTTCACCAATACACCTTATATTTAAACTCAAGCAATTCATCGAGGAATACTTCTCTCACCAAGTTCACCCATGACTTCCAACAAGACCGGATTTCCTTCATCAATTTCAAATCCAAGTTTTCTACCAATGTTGACAGTTCTCTCTATTTCTGAGTTGAAGGAGGTACCTTCCGTAACACCATCCGGGGACCGCATGTCTTCCGCGTTTCTATTAAGGTCAATGGATGGGTCATCTCCTCCATCATCACGGATTGGCGATTGACTGCCATGGTCTGGAAGAGGTATCGTGGAGATTTGGGGGTTGAAGGATTGCTCTGTGCTTATACGACTGCAACGTTTCCTTTTTTTGCAGCTGATCCCCCAATAATTGATATTTGATCCATGCCATCGAATTGGGCCATATGGCAAGGGGACGGGAATGGCCCAAGGCAACCGTTTGGTTTTATCTGTCCATCTAGTTCAAAATTAATTCTGCACGTGGGGGGTTCATCTTCCAGAATCACACTTGGGGTAATAGGGGCTCTTTGGTAATTTGCATTTAATGTACTCATATTCCCAACAGATGAATTAAGTGCATGCAACGTTTCATTACCTTGCAACCTTTGATCTTCCACATTCTGGCTAGGGGTTGCCGTCGGATCCTTTGTGTCTTCGGTAACCACCTGTGATTTCTCCGGCAACTGCTTCCGGTCACTCTGGTGCTCTTTTTGATTTTGCTTTTTTTTTGGTTTCCCATTAGGATCTCCCCTTCTTCTGGTTCTTCGTCCCCTACTTCCATCCATGTTTCGGATACACCTTCATCATCCCCTGAGTTTGCCCCTTCTTCATCACTGAATTGCCCCTCATAAAAGTTTTATGATGGGTCGAATTGGAATGGGAACCAATCCTCATCAAATTCAACAACTCCAACTTTGATTATATGATCATCAGTGGCTACCACGGCTTCTTCATTTATCCTGGTTCTCCTTGTTGTAATGATACCGATTTTCACGCAGGACAGGTCTACCCTGTGATACACATCGTCGAAGGGAGCAATTATCTTCCCAAACTTCTGACAAATTGCTTCAAAATTTGTATATCCCCAAAGTATCAACGGAAGCCCCACTATTCTCACCCATGCCACCCGTTCAAAATTTTGCTCTATGCTCTCTCCAGGTTTAACCCATTTTAAGTTGTTTGCCCATCTTTGTTTATTTTCAAGAAAACTCCTTGCCTCAATTGAGTTATCAAAACATAATAAAACCTTCAGCCCTCCAATGTATTTGATTTCAAGGGCCTGTTCTTCTTTGGCCTGAAGGAGTTTGGGGAGATGACCCAGGTGTGAAAGGGAGATGGCTTTAGCAATGAGTGTAGTTTTCCTAAGCCAAGAGTAATTCACATGATCCTGTTTGAGAAGGATTGGCGGCTCCGGTGCATTTTACGATGAATTAGACTTAGGTCTGATTACATCTGCATAAGAACGATGATCTCTCAATCCGAGTTTAGGTTCAGCCCTCTTTGGCTGTTTATTCCATTTCTTATTTGTCTTCTGTGGGGCCAACTTCCTGAGTTGCCTGGATACATTCATCATCAACCTCTTCCCGTTGTATGTAATACCGTTGAGTTTCATCTCTAGTCCAGGGATGTCGCAAACTCCCCTGAATCGGACGAATGCAAAGTTCTGCCCATTCCATCTCTTCTTTGTTCCCAAATACACATCTGATATCTCCCTATATTTTGTGAATCGCCTCCATAGATCTACTTTATTTGCATTATCTGGAACATCAGAGACAAAGAAAGTCGTATCGTCTCTTACATTCGTCGTTGCTTGCTTTCTTCGCCAGAATTCCTTCATTGGAGTTTACATACCAAAAAAACCTCGCACAATTTATTATGTATTTTTTTCGATAATAGTTCATAAACTTGCCTCCAAGATGAATCATTATGGTTAATGGGTTACAGTTTCTTAAGAAAATAATTCTTGACCTCAAGTTTCATAAAAAGCTTTGTGTCAATGATGAACCAATTTGTGAGGCTCCTCTAATTAGGTCTATTAGGACGAAAAATGTCTCAATGACTCGAATGAGGTGGTTTGCTTCATATTAGCGATCATAATTCTTGAACTCCAAAAGAACTTAGAATATCTTGATGCATTTGACATGGTCAACCCACTTAAGGACATGTTTAAAGTGCAGACAAGACAAAAACAATTTAGGACGGTAAAAGCCTTAATATGATGCAAGTTGTAGGAGGGAGGAAGTGCCAGTGTTCACGTCTTGAAAATAAAAGTGTACACTTACCAATTTGAAAGATTAGACTTTCCTATTAGTTAGGAATTGGCCGCAAAAATTATCTTCAACCTGCTGACTAGTTCATAGGATCGGTTCATTCAAAAATTCGTTCTAGCTAACTAGTCAACCATGCATATGCCATTATACTATACATGGATGAACATATGACCCGTTGAACCAGACCAGACTAGAAAAATAAACCAGGCTCGGACGCGGATCGAACCGGAAATGCATTTATTGGACTGTTTTCGGTTTTAATTTTTAACAAAAATCGGTTTTCGGGTTTGGACCGGACCAAACCCGTAATAAACATTTTTACCCGGACCGCACCTGAAAGTATTTTTTTTATCGACTTGACAGCAACCTCTCCAATCTATTCACATTGTTGGGTTCTTTTTTTTGGATTCGCTGTTCGAATATGAAGTTAAAAGCCAAAAAAAAAAAATTGTTGTTTTTACAAATAAAAGCTATTTTTATATATATATATATAAAAAAATACAGTTTATTTATTTATTTATAAAAAGTGTTGGTTGTTTATAAAACGTGTAGTTTTTTTTTTAAAATGCAGTTTTTTTTTATTAAAAGTATATATATATATATATATATATATATATATATATATATATATATATATATATATATATATATATATATATATATCGTACAATTTTTTTATAACAAGTGTACTTTTTTTATAAAATGTCTAATTATTTCTAAAACGTGTAGTTTTTTGTTAAAATATGTAGTTTTTTTTTTAATAAAACATGCAGTTTTTTGTTAATTAAATACATATTTTTTTATAATATATGTTGTTTAGGCCAACAAATAGTCTAATTCATTCCAAAAAACGAAACCCGGCCGGGGACCCATAACAGGACCGGAACCGGCATACCCCAAACCGGTCCGATTTTTGGTTAAGGTAATTAAAGGATTTTGGGTTTCGATCTTCCTGCCGGTTCAGCCTGTTGCTCATATACTAAATTGAAGTGTCGATGCATTTCTTTCTGTCAACCTTTAGTCTTTGAGTTTTGATTGTTGTCATTTTTTTGTCATTGTTTTGGTGAGGGAATATGTATTTGGTGATATTTTCAACCCCTCTACTTTGTAAAATGATATTTTCTACCCTTCTATTTTGTAAAATGTCATTTTCACCCTCTCAAATGTGAACTTTCTAAAATGTCATTTTTACCCCCTTAATTTTCTAAAGTTTCATGTTTACCCCCGTAGTATATAATCAAATATTCCTACATTTATCACCCATAACTTTGTAAAATGTTACTTTGACCCCCATTGACTTTGAGCTTTGTAAAATGTCACTTTTCACCGCTTCGACTTTCTAAACATTAGTGTTTACTCCATCCCTCTACAATTACCATCCCCCAACTCTATAAAATGTCACTTTGACTATTTTGATTTTAAACTTTGTAAAATGTCACTTTCACGACTCTCTAAACTTTCGTGTTTACCACCCATAATATATATAATTTATAATATGAGTTTCCTTAATAACTTTCGTTTGTTAACTTAAAAAAAATAATTTATTACGTGCTTATTTTTATGTATGTATCGATATAAATTCGAGGTATTCAACGTTTTGACGTAAATTTAGAACTTTCGTTCGTTATTTTTTTATTTTATTTTTTTAAATTACTTGGTTTTTTATGTACATGTCGGTATAAATTCAAGTTTGTCTACTTTTCAACATAAATATTTTTTTACGCTTTCGTTCTTATTTTTATGTACGATTCGTACGTATGAGTCAGGTCACATATAATACATTTATAATTATCTAAACTTCCGTTTATTAACTTAAAATAATCTTAATTACTTATTTTTATATACGTGTTTGAGTAAATTCGAGTTTCTTTATGGTTCGACATAAAAGTTATGTATATTTTCGTGTTTACATTTATGCACGTTTCCTACATATGAGTCGGGATCACATACAATACGTTTTCATTAGACGGTATAAATTGGAGTTACACAGTGGTAACAACTTTCTATATTTATACCAACAAATGCAACTATGCCTATTTTTTTTATCAATACAATGATTACAATCATCAAAATTCAACTTATAAAACGGATTGACGTCTCTGCAACATGTGGGGGGCAAATTACTTGTTCCTAACTAAAAATATAAGTATAATGCTAATAGTTATTTTCATAAATAAATAAATGAAAGGCTAAACAAATCCGATGACCACTTTTGTCAAAATCAAATAGTGTTTTTGGTATATATATCATTTGGTTTATATTTCCATAATTTCCTATACTTTTAAGGGATATCCTCATGTGCGTTGGAAAATATCAAAGAGATAAGTGCAATCAAATATACAATTCAATCTTTTGTTTAGTGTTAGATACTTAGATATATAAAATGTTTTTTTAATGACAACTAAAGTCAAAATAACAATCGATCAACACCTGTGCTTCAAAAAGTATAACTTTAACAAAACTGAAATTAAAATTGAATCGTAGCCTCTGAAATACAATACTAGTTCGGGCTACACAATCGATATATCCATCTGTATTTTGAATCTTTAGAATCCGTAATTAGTTTATACTGCATAACTCATCCTAATGCAACAAGTTAGATCTACAAAGTGGGCATGTGAAGTTGTCACGAGTTAACCATCTCTCTATGCAACATGTATGGAACACATGAGAACACCGGTTGAGTTGACTCACTGCATCCTCGTCCTTGAACTCCGCCAAGCAAATGGAGCAGGTGTCGTCCACCTCTCTTCTAGTGGTTCCACTGTCTTCGATAGCAATATCACGAAATTGAAGAGTTGAAAGATTGTAGGCATTTGAAATGATCTTCCAAAGGTTTCCATGATGATCATCATCATGATGTTGATGATGATGATCATCATTATCATCATGAAGCTGATGATAATGATCATGTTGGGGAAAGATCATCATCAGGGTCGATAAGATTTCAAAAAATACATGTTTGGCTTGAAGAAACGGGACCCAAATGCAAGTGATGAACACAAGGGTGGTTGTGGAAGCTCCATAGCCGTCATATACCAAACATATCATGTTTATGGTTTTTGATTTTTGGTTTTCAGGTGTTTTTGTTTTTGTATTCGTAGAAGATCTGAGTGATTGTAGGGTAGGGGTGGGGTAACCCTTTATATAGAAAGAATTTTGGTGAAGTCAATGGAATTCTTAATTAGTTTTTTGTTTCGAAAGAATATAAACTTAATTTCATGTAATTTATAATGCATGTATCATGACCTCGTTTATTATTATATTAAGGACGGCAAAAAAATATTCAGAACAATATCGTACAAATATACCATTAGAATTCAAATATTAATTAAATTGTTTGTTTAATATATTTGTTGACGTTTTTAATAAGGCAAATAAATTGATGAATTGTGTTTGATAGCAAAATATGAATAAATTTCATAAGGCTCTATTTTCTTCCTTAAAAAGATAAAGTCAAAGCCTCATAGGATAGTAATATAATTTGTTTTATTTTTATTTGATATTCTACATATTTAATATATTTAAATAATTTGGTAAAAAAAAAACAACAATATGATTTTCTATGAATCATCTAATCAACATTACTAAAATGAATTTGTTAATATACAACAATCATCTTTATACATTTGATGCATAATATATTCTTTAACTAGTTAAATAAAAACAAATAACTTGTATTATCATCTCGACGACTCACACGTGAATTTGGCCTAAAGTCCATCACGGGGGGAGAGTAAATAAATGTGCACCAATAATATTTTAGATATGCCAAAGTTTGATCTACGAACCTCTTTTATGACACCTCAACCGCTATGGATAATGATGTTATTATCTAAATGGTTTCTCTGCCACCTAATCAAACCATAATTGCATGATATGTAAAGAAAAACTATGCAAGGATGAAATTTTTTTAGAGAGAGAGAAAAGAATATTGTATTTATTACATATTTTCAACTTATTGAATAAACCAGATACACAGGGATTTATAAATAAATTAGATATGTTCAAAAATATGTCTAATTCTATTATTATCGACTTTTAAAGGAATTCTTAAATGATTATGTTACTAGCATTCATACACCTATTAAGTAATTATGGATCCCGGTTAAGAAGGGTCATATATGACTAATAGATGTAACATGACTATAACATCCTAAAAACATACATTTTTTCATTTTTAATATATCAATTCACATGGTATTTGTCCAAAAACTCATCATAGTATCAAATTTATCATAATCATTAGAGTGCAATAATAGTCATCAATACAGAAAATCATCAGGGGATAATGTTATGCAATCAATTCGGGCCCTTCCCTTTAGAACTGGAAGTATCTGAAAACATTCAAACCATAAAACCATAAGTACAAAGCTTAGTGAGTTCCCCAAAATACCGCATACCATACATACATTGCCATGGGCTACCCCCATGGTCTTCCATACAAGTACCAAGGGCTACCCCCATGGTCTTTCATACCATTTCCATGGGCTACCCCCATGGTCTTTCCACGCATTGCCTTGGTTACCCCAAGGTCTTATATACAAGTGTCATGGGCTACCCCCAT